AGGCTGTTTAATTTTAAATGGTTGACACAAATTCATCGTCATTGTATGACTCTCCTTATTTATTTATTTATTTATTTTTGGTACATTAGAGTATTAGTTATTTGATAATATAAAAATTAAAATTTTTAATTTTAACTCTAAATTAATATTTTTTAAATAAACGAATATCAACTCAACCAAGTATTTACTAACTCTCTTTATTCTCTTATAAAAGGTTAACACCGATTCATAATTATATAACTCTCTTTATTTATATATTTATTTATTTTTTATAAATCTATCAGTATTTAAAAATTATATTAAATCTTAATTAATTCGAAATTAAGTTAAGTTGACCCCATAAAAGCCACACTGGTTTAGTACTTGTCTTTTTATTCATAAAACTTGTATTTAAAATCTTAATTTAAAGAAAAATGAAACACTTTTTATTCATATCAACATGCCATTGGTCGTGTAACTCTCTTTATTCTCCACCTAAAACTCATCAAATTAAACACTTTATAATTTTAAACTAAAGACTTGACAATCTTGAGAATTTACCCTTATATTTACTTTGTCTATTAAAAAAATTAAATTTATCCTTCAATGCAGTTGCAAAGTGGGCAAGACTTGAATTTAAAACTTAATTTGTAAATGCAACACTTGTTTATAAATGATTCAATGCTTGCTATTGAAAAACACATCATTCTTTTCCCTTCTCAATATATTACCGGTATATATTGACAGGCCAAAAATACATATACATTACCGTATATGCTAAGTTCTAAGAATCTTAAAAAGACTAATATAGGAACTCTTTAATTTAATATATTTATTAAAAAATTATTATTTTTTAATTTAAAATTAAAAAAACAATTATTTGTATAATATATAAAAACCAACAAATAGATTATATTTATATAATATTTTAATAATTAAATTAATTAAATATTAAAATATTTATCCAGCCAAAGGATCAAGAAATAATTGATGATTCTCCATCCCCGAAAAACGACTTCTTTTTGGGCGCCAAAGACAGTGGCTGGTACACTTTTCAGTGGACCTTTCTTTTCAAAAGGCAATAAGAT